AGGGGCCGCCCGTTCTCCGCCACCGCGTCGCGGACCGTAGGGAATCCACAGCGGGAGGGGGCCGTGCCCGTCCGCGGGCTGGTGATGACCTGCCGCTGTAGCTGCCTCTTCCCCCTCAGTAGCCCCGCGTTCGTGCAGCTGGAGCTTGGCCGGCCCTAGCAACCGTTACCAGGCAGCCCATAATAGCAGCCCGGGTTCTGTTGGGCCGGGGGGCTCCGGGGCTCCCCAGGGATGGGAGGGGAGACTCCCCCTGCTTGGCCTGCCATAGCAACCGCTGCCAGGCAGCCCATAATAGCAAGTGTTCTGTTAGGCCAGGGGGCTCCCCCTCTGCTTCCCACCCACACGCCCAATGCTGCCCTGGCTCCCCCTGGGCCTGCCTGTGCTGCCTCCCCCGCCACCAGCCCCTGGCTTGCAACAGCTGCCCGAGAAGGGAGAGGCCCCAGCGGCAGGGGAAGGGGAAGAGAGAAAACTGGCTACCCCACGGCCCCAGTGCCGCTGGCGCAGCCTTGCTACGCAAGCACGGGCAGGCGCCAAAGCTGGTTGCATGCACTCCCACCAGGCAGCTGCTTCAGGGCCAGAGTCTGCCCACTGTTTGGTTTGAGGGCACGCAGGCCTCTCGGAGGCAGGAGGATGGGTGGTGCGAAGGCAGGGCCGCAAAGCAGGGATCAAACGGAGGGGGGCTGCAGGTACCTGCACTGGAAAGTGGGGAATGGGCTGGGGTTTACTCACTACTCTGATGCTCGTAAAGTGTGCCCAGACTGCCTTGACCCACCATCAAGCTCGGAGCTATTAGCCCTTTCTCCAGAGCCAACAGCCTAGTTGGCTGTTGTGAGGTACACCAGGGCAATGGGAGCAAAGGCTCTCCGGGTCACCAAGCAGCTGTTCCCTGGTGCAGAGAATGTATAAATGACTGCGCCCAGTCCAGCTTCTGGGGTAGCACAGCGACATCTAGTGCCACTCTGGAGCTGTTAAAATACAGGCACAAGAAGGCCAGTGACTCAATCCCCTCCCCACGTGCCACTTCCTCCAGCACCCACATGGCCTGGCTGTCCACCGCTGTGCACCTTGCCTCATGCTTACAAAAGGCAGTGCAGTGGCCCTTACACATCTGAAAGCCCATCTAAGCTGTTTGGAGTACCTGGATGAGGCAGGCAAGTCTTTTAGAAGGAGGTGAGGGAGTTAGGACCTAAGCTTAAAATATTCTGGACAGGGCTGCAGCAGCATGGGAGCTGCACGGCTAACAGCCCTTGCGCCCTGCTGAGTGCAGATGCTTGGCAGCCCACTTTGCTCCTCGCTTCAGAAATCATCTGCTCAGTCCAGTCCCTTGGTGCCATACAGTGGGCAGATCTAGGAATTCAAGGGGGTGTAATAGATGCCACAGGCAGACAGGTCCACGGCAGCAGCTGCCCAGGACTTTTGAGTCCTCCCTAATAAACCTCCCTCTCCTGACCCTGCTCTCACCACCACCTCCCCTCCAATGCAGGCACCACTCCTTCCTTCTCATTCCCTCCCCTTCTCCAGCAGGGTTTGCCTCAGTGCCGGAAGAGGGAACCCCTCCACTGCTGCCACTGTTTCCAGCTGAACCAGGGAGAAGGAAGCTCCAGGGCTGCTCCTATGTGAAGCTGCACAGGGTGCTGGGCTTGGCTAGGGATCAGAGGTGGTTGGGGGTGTCCCCTTCCAGGCACTCCTGCTCCCTGCCCAGTCACTCCAGATGTTCCCCACTGGTCAGGAGCAGGTGCTGGAAGGGGGCATTACCCACACCATGCTATTCTCAACCCTCCTGACACCCCACAGTCACTCCCCCCAACTGGAGCCCCCATTCCAGCAGGAGAAAACCCAGGGGAGAAGACAGGGAGCAAGGACCCATCAACTGCTGCCTGATATGAGCAGCTGTTCCCCACAGGCCCTGGTCTGAAGCAGCGTAAGAGTGGGCCTGTAGTTTTCCCCAGCCCCAGGTTAGCTAGAAACAACAGGAGCAGGAGTTCATCCTCCTCTTTACCTGCTCCCTGCTTAGACCCCTGGGTGTCCCACCAGCCCTGGGGCTTCCACCAGCCCTGGGGCTCCAGCCACAACTTGGACTCTGCAAGGGATCACACTGGGTCCCTGGAGAATTTAAGCTAAGGGCATGTGACCTACACTGCAGAAGTGGGGATGTAACTGTGCTGTGGCACACCCTAGACCAGGGGTGGGTAAAATGCGGCCCAGGGGCCAGATGCGGCCTGCCAGACCATTCTATCTGGCCCGCGGGGCCCCTAAAAAATGTAGAAAATTAATATTAACCTGCACTGGGCTGCCCATCATGCGGTCCACAATGGCTTGCCAAAACTCAGTAAGCGGCCCTCTGCCCAAAATAATTGCCTGCCCCAGCCCTAGACTCTGCCCCTAGTTCCATGAATCAGGGTCTGCTGTGCTAGATGCTGTAAAACCATCTTCCCACCACCCCCTTCCCTTCTTGACTTCACAGCTGCTACCAATGTGCACAAATGAATTTGAAGTTTGCAGGGTCTGACTTAATGGCCAGGAGGCCCTTTCCTACAGTGTTATATGTAGGATCAGGTCTTTGGGAGTGTTGAGATCCTTGGGCACTCTCTCAACTAAGGCCTAGTTCTATAAAGATATGTTGTTGGCATAAGCACTAAAGCCAACACTGAAAAGTTATACTAAAATTCATAGATGCTTAAGGCCCATTGTTGAGTACAGGGGCTATCAGTCAGTGAGTGGGTCATGACCCCCAGGAGAGGTGGGAAGGTGGGGGGTGAAAGTCCCAAGGTACAGAACACTTTACATTCTAAAGCAAAGAAAATCTCCCTCCTTCACCCAGCTGGGTCATGTGCTCTCCATTGGCCTCCTGAAACACATACTTCCCCAACTCTAATGTAAGGAAATTACAAAAATTTAATTTGGAATAAGGGGCTGTGAGCCTGAAGAGGCTGAGGAATACCTGAGTAGTTAAACCCACATAAAAAGCAGCCCTGAAAATTCCACCCCTTCAAGTCCACCCAGCATTTCCACAAATGACCAGCACCTGTGTCTACATGGCAAATACCTTTGGTATTAGGTTGAACAAATCTATGAAAAAACACAGGGAAAAACCGCCTTACACACGTTTTTTCCTAAAGTTTTATTTTTTTATAGTAATGACATGAGAACAGAAACATTATTTTTCACTTTATTATACAAAAAACCCAAAACAAAACAAAACAAAACAAAAAACCTCCACAGTTTTAAGTCTGTCCAGACTTGATTTCTAAGTCCCACTGAGCAATACAAATTGAAGTTGGGTTTTTTTTGTTTGTTTTTTAATTATTTTTTTAAACCTACAAAAACACTCTTTAAATATTAGAAAAAAAAAAAAAGGATTTGTTTTTTGTTTTTGTAATTCACAAGAACTTCCATCTAAAGTCTCATTGTTTTTTGTGGCAGTGCAAAAATGCACTTAGCTTCAATTCTCTTACAGTACAAACTATTTTTCCCCCCCTGTAACTTTAAAAAAAAATGTCGGTACTGTAAGAATTTTTTTTTTTTAAAACAGAAAAAATTATTTTTTTTTTTTGTAATTTTTTGTACTAAAAACACATCCACTAAAATACAATAGCGCTGGGCACATTCAGCAAAATGAAATCAGTTTCCCCGCTGGGGGGAAAAAAAAAAGAAAAACAAAACAAAAAGGATTGAGTTGAGGTGGGGTGGGGTGGGGACATCAGGACAAGGACAGACAGATGGGCACAAAACAGCAGGCGGGGTGATCAGACATCATGGGCACGTCACATTAATACACACACACACACACACACAGTGAGAGGAGGGGTGGGTGGACAGGACCCTATGTTTTCCCTCACCACTGGAGTCCCTTGGCTAAATCTACAAGGATTGTCTGTTTCTCTTGAATGGAGCAGGGTCCAAGCACCCCAGAAGCGGGCTGAACGACATGCTCACTGCAGACCCTCATGTGTCCCACTTCCCCCACTCAATAGGTCCTAGGAACTAGGCCAACAGCCAAGGAAGCAGGGGTATTTTCTATCTTGACAGTCCTAAGGGCTGAATGCAGGACAGCACTTCAGAGCCCTTGCTTCAGCCTGGTTGACAAAAAGCATGCACTTTCCTGAATTGGGTCCTGCAGGAGGGGCCCTGGGGAGAGAACAATGCCATGCAATCCAACCCTCATGCTGTGAAAGGGAGGAAAGTGCCGGCTTTTAGGAGCTCAGGCCTGAACAGCTCACATCCTGGCCCAGACAAGATCACAGCAGAGCTGCATCCAGCAAACTCCGGTCCAAGAGGAGTGCGAGTTTGTTCCGAATTCCCAGCAGAAAGGGGTCCTTTGTATGGTGACCCCCTCCCCCTCTCTATGCTGTGACCCAGGTGATTTACTGGCACTGGGCACTTTCCCCCCTCCCTACCACCACTGCCACTGCTCAGGTAAGGATTAGGAACATGAAATCTCTCCCCACTAGGCTCTCCTGACCCCTTTAAACCCCAGAAAGGAAAAGCTGCTGAGAAGACCCAGGCTCCTCTGCATGTTGTATGTGTGGAAAGGCCACCAGGCTGAAATTTAAGCCCAGCAGGACCCCCCAGCTTCATCTGAGAGAAGTGGGGGGCTGCAGTGGACAGAAGGGGGAGGGGAGTGAGACAGAGTCGGGGGGCCCCCGGGCCAGCAGCTAACCCCTCCATCTGCTGTGAGACTTCCCCCATTCGTAGGCCTGAGCCCTGCCAAATGCAGACAGCCCTCCTGTCTGCTCCCACTGGTGCCCTCAAAACTCTTCCCAACCCACCGTTTAGACTGACCCCCTGCCTGGCCAGACCCCCAAGCCAGGGACTTCATCCATCAGAAGGCAGACATATTTTTCATATAGGAACAAACAAAAATGCAGCAGCACAGCCCACCCAAATGTCATAATCCCCTGCTGGGACTTCACTAGGTCCAGCACAAGACACCCACGCCGCAAGCTGAGCCCTCTAAAGAACAGTTACCATCCAAACACTGTTTCTCTTCTCTGCCCTCTTGCTACAGACCAGGCATGGCAATAAGTCTGCCCTAGGGGAAGGGAGGAGCCATGTCTCTCATGTCCCTGAGGGGCAGCAGGGGTGGCAGTTCAGGGAGGGGAAGCAGAAAGACTCCAGTAACAAGCTAACCACTAGCTGTTTGGTTCTGTTCTGTTCCTGCTAAATACTGTCACTGCCCCCCCTCCTAACCCCCGCAGCCAGGGGGAGAGAAAGTGGCAAAGAAATAGCTGGTTTGCTGGGGGTGAAGAAGGGACACAACAGGGACCCACATTTGTTCTTCTGCCCAGCTTCAAGGGTGCAGGGGACCAAGTCATGGGAAGGGCGGGAGGGGAGCAGAATACAGCCAGGTGACAGATGAAATTGCTGGTGCTGTGAATGCAGAAGGGGAAAGAAGGGGAAAGGAACACGCAAGTCCCAGGATACACTCTGCTGGCATCGCCACGTGGCTCCTGCTGGCCAAGACAAACATCCAGCAGAAGTAAGACACCCCAGAAGCCGAGTGGC